GTCTTGGCTATTGTCAGTAATTCTGCAGTGAATGTGGGGGTGCAGGTATCTCTTTGGGACAGTGATTTCCTTATGCTAAGTGAAATAAGTCACAGAAAGACAAATACTGTGTGATCTCACTTATGTGTGGAATCTAAAAAACAAAACACAATCTCATGGAAACATTGCCTGCCAGTTGCCGTGGGCTGGGGGAAGGGGTTTGGATGCAGGCGGTCAAAAACTACAAGCTTCCAGTTATAAGATGAATAAGTCTGGGGATCTAATGCAGGGTGTGATGACTATAGTTAACCATACAGTTCTGTATATCTGAAAGTTACTAAGAGACTAAATCTTAAAAGTTCTCATCACAAGAAAAAAAATAACTCTATGAGGTCGTAGATGTTAGCTAAACTTACTGTGGTCATCACTTCACAATATATACATATATCAAATCATTATGCTATATACACCTTAAGCATCTACAATGTTATGTGACAATTACATTTCAATAAACTAGAGGGTAAAAAAGGTGGGCAGCAGGGGCAGGAATGTGAGGGGGTGCTGGCAGGGGAGGGTGCTGCCAGGAGAGCCACAGCCTGGGTGCCAGCTCCAGCACTAAGTTGCCCTGTGCTCTGGGGGAGTCTCTTGGCCTCTTGGGCCTCCTGCTCTCCATTTGCAACTTCCCAGACCTGGCTGTCTCCATTGCTGCTGAATCCTGGCTCCTCATGCCCCAGGGAACCAGGGGCCCCATGGGTCTGGTCAGGGGACCTGACGCTCTGAGGCACTTCACTTGGTGGTCAGAGGCCTCTGGCACAGACGCCCTCCTTCCCAAGGGACTGAAGTTTAGTTTACTTGGTGAGGCTATTTTAAACTGTGTCATGGCTGATTAAATGTTCAGTTCTGTGGTGAAAAGCAAAGCACCATTCCAGTCTCTGACAACGCAGGGACGTGGTTAAAGAATAAAGACATGGGAGTACCTATCATCTGCTGGGGTTGGAACTTCAGGGTCATTCTAGACCTCCCCCTGCTTCTTTCCCACAGTGGTGACAGAGGCAGGCACCTCCTCAGTCTTCCAGCCTGAGCCAAGTCCTAGAACCCTCCCAACAACCCGTGAGGCAGGAAGAACTTTCCCATTGCACAGGCAAGGACTGGGGCTGGGCGAGAGCACACGGGTCGGCTCAGCCTCGGTGCCCTCGGTCACTCTCTTCCATCTGTTCACCCCTGTCTGGCCAAGTCTTTCCTCCTGCCCAGCCCGCTGCTGCCGCCTAGATCTGCAGCGCCTCGCACCTGGACAGCTGCCACTGCCCACAGGTATTCCCGGCAGGTGCCCTTGGTAAGGCCGGGCTGCAGCCTCCTGGCCCCGAGGGGCTTCTGGCTGGGTGTCCCTGACACTCATGTGCTGTTTGGAACCTTCAGGATCGTCTGTCAGTGTTGTGGGTGTGAAGGGTTTGCATAGCATGTCTGTGGCCCCTGCTTCCAGGGGAACAGGGAACCTGTCGCTGTGAGTGGTGCCACATGACAGGTGACTTCAGGACTCTGCAGCCAGACCTCTGGAACTGGAATCATGCTGACTTGCTATGTGACTGTGGGGAAATCATTTTATTTATAAGGGATCTCTGGGCCTCAGATTCCTCCAATTGGAATCGACCACAATACAGCCGTAGCAAGGATTACGTGAAGTAAAGTGCTTCGAGCAGCACCAGGCCCACCGCCAACCCCCACTACTCCCCACTCCCCCTCCCTCCCCCGCCTCCCTGTCCTTGGTGAGTCTTTCCCCTCGTGTCCCTAGAGGTCCTCCTGGCAGGCTTTGGAAGTCCTGGAAGCTGAGCTCCCTGCATGCATCAACCCCAGGTACCATCTATAGAGCCTGGTGCTGTGACTGTGCCCATGTTACCCAGGAGGGAAGAAAGAGGTTACTGCTTGCAACCCAGAGTCTGCCTCCAGTGCCTCAGCCTTTAGGGCTGCCCCATGGGTATGATGGAGTGAGGACAAAGGCCTTTGCATCTTTCAGAAAGTAGGGAAATCACTTTGTTTTTCCAAATTGTGTTACTTTAAATGCTCTGGGTGGATGCCCATGTGTGCAAGGGACACTTGGCTAGGCCAGTGGCACATTGTTCCCTGAAAGGCCCCATTGTGACCCTGAACTGGCCAGAGTGACTCTTGGAACAACAGGCCCCTGTGTGCACCCAGGGCTGGCAGTGTAAATGCTTTGCTGTCTCTTTAAGGTCAGCATAGGGATGCCTTAAATCCCCCATTTGGGCTGCTGGGGCTCTGATTGGAGGTGCTTTTAAGGGTTTGGGTCTAGAATTTCTGTGAAGCTCAGTTCATATAAACAGTGTCCTCTCCAGAAGGACAGATTCAGTGAGGACCGACTGTGAGCAGCTCAGGGGTTCAGGGGCTGGTTCCCAGAGGACATATGCAGATGAGGCCCTTCCCACGCCATTCCTCCCGCAGAGGGAAGGCCGCCAGGACAGTGCCCCTGGAGCCCTGATAAAGTCCCGGGGCCACAGCCACTGGAGTCACAGATGAGAGCCTTCCAAATGTCCTGGCAGGATTCGATTCACGCTGCCTTTCGCTGTTGGCCTCTGTGATGTGCATCCCGACAATGTATCTGTGGTGGCTGCGCTTTGTTCTGCCTGCGAGCTTTGGCTCTTGGTCACATCATAGACATCAGCTTCTTAATCTTTTCTCAGGCCCATGGAGGGATTTAGCTCTTTGTTCCATTAGCTTAAAAACACCCAGTCATTTGTCTTCTTTACAAGTGTCAGCTGGACTGTGGGAACCTTTGGCAAAGCAGGGTGCAAAGCAGGACATGGTAACTGCCAGTAACTTGTCATCAGTGTGCAGCTCAGAGCAGACGTTCAATAAGACTACTGAGTCCAGCACCTGGATGCAGACACATGGCCTCCTGCAGACCTTGCTCATGGTCTGGAGTTGTCCCATGTCCCAGGCTTCACCCCCCACGGAAGGTCCCATCCACTGGCATCAGGTCCACTGCAAGGTCTCTGTCACTGCTTGAGAGGCGGGAGGGCAGAGACACATGAGCACAGGTCTGGGCACCCTCGGGTGGTAAGCGAGCTCACAGGAGCTGGCCCTAAATCCAGCTCCAGATCTCACCGGCTGAGTTTGTTTCCTACCAGTAAAACGGCAGTAGTGGCCTCGTCCCACAGCCTCTGGATGTGATGACAAAGGCTGTATATAGGTAAGGTGCCTATGCAGGGCTGGGCCTAAGGCAAGGGTGCTGCAAATGGCAGGCAGGGTGGTCACACAGGTGTGGACGTGGGGCCTTTGGACAGCTGTGTTTGGGTGTGGGCACTACCGACCTTGGGACCAAGTCAAGGACACGAAGAAGGCAATATAATGTCCCACTTGCCCTTGGAGTGGAACCCAAGGTTATGTCCCAGAGGAGGTCTCTTCTTGCCCAAGGTGCAGGGGCAGACAGGCGAGGCATGCAGCTGCAAGAAGCTTTGGGGACAGACACCACTCCACCCCAGGGGACCAATGGCCCCTGCAGACAGTAGGTGCTCAGTGGTTGCCCATTCTCTGTGGTCTGAGCGTCTTTCGGCGACTGCCCAGAAGGCTTAAATGCCGCTCCCCAGGCATTGTGTGTTCCCAGAGGAGTGGTGCCCTTAGCAGTGGGGCCTGTGCGTCAGCCTGCACTCCTACCTGCAGGCGCTTCTTACACAGCTGATGCAGGCAGAGCTGAGCAGTGAGATGCAAGCACAAGGAAACAGGACCAGAGGTAGGTTGGGGGGTGGGCATGGTCTGCGTGAAAGAAAAAGCAAGACCAGGAGGGGTCATTTTAAAACACTGAGAAACCCTTGGGAAATTCAACCTAGCCTCTGCTTGCTTTTATTGATGGGGTTCAAAAATGTTCCTGCTAGCATCAGGTTCCTGCTAGCTTACCAGAATGCAATCACCCAGTTTTGTTGAAAAAAGAAGAATCTTGCTTCAATCAACATTTGATCACAAAGTTTGTTAAATATGTGACACACTTCCTATCATTCTCAGTTTGTACTTTTAAGTTTTCAGGATAAAGCCCCAATCAAACCTTTGGCTCCTAATTTGCTATGAAATTTTTACTTCAATTTTATTTTAAGTGGATTCACTAAAAGCAGCCTTTTTTTCTGGTACAATTATCCTGAGATAACAAAGGACCTCCTGGAGATATCACTGAGACTCGATTTGGTCACAGGCTCCCCAAGTTGGAAGAGGAATGAAAATGTCCACTAGTCAAACCTTTGCCTGAAGCTTGAATCTTTGCTCTACACGGCTGCTGGTAAGGGGTCAGCCAGTCTCCATTCGCACCTCCACATGGGGAGCTGGCCAGTTTTGGAGGCACCTGCTCTGATGTCCCAGCTCTGGGATATCATTAACCTCTTTGAGCAAAGGGGTAAAGAAGGATTTCGTAATAGGAGCGGGGCTTTCAGGATTCCAAACGAAGCACCCTCCTTCCTAATTTTTCCCTCTCTTTTCAACCCAGACACCTCATAACCAAAGCGTGGCACTCACCACCTGTCACTGGACTTCCTCTCTCTGTAGTCAGGTCCCCTTGCACTTCTGTGGAGTGGTCCAGGGAAATCCTAAAATCAGTTTATTCTTCACATCCCTCATTGGAACTGAACATAGATCACACTGCCCAGCATTTTGGGATCAGTTTCACAACGAATGAGAAGAAACTTCTGCCCCTTATTTCCTTTTGGCTAAAAGATTTTCTAATTGAGCACAGACCCCTGTGATTTGCAAGAAGATGAAGGCATCCTCCAGGCTGGCACCTGGCAAGTTTCCAGAGAGGGTGAAGCTGGAGGGTGCCATGTGAGCTGGGAAGGGTGGGCACCCAGCAGGGCTCCCTGCCAGCACAGTGCCCGAGCACACAGCTGTCATCTGAACTGCCATGTGCTGCTGCCTCTAGAGTCAGTTTAAGCCAAGGGGTCGCTCAGAAAGAGAGCTGAAATGATGGCATCCCTGATACTGGGGAATTACAACCAAAACCAAAAAAAAAAAAAAAAAATCCACCAGAGTCTTGAACATAAAGGCACTTTATAAAGTATTTCAAAGGTTTAGCATCTTCCACTGGGGATACCTGCAAATATTTGCTGGGTGAGTTTTAACTTGCCTGTGACAGGTAGATAGATATCCATGAAGACTTAGAACACGCATGCCCAAGATGGGTGCTCAAAAGAGCCGGTGGAAAATTCCAATAGACAGTTCTCAAGATGTGGGCCGGGGATCAGCAAGGGATCTTTGTTTTCACTGTGTTTTCCCAGATCACAATGCCCACTTGCCACCACCCCCCGTCACAAATAGAAAACGACCCTAGAAAGACAGGTCAGTAGTTGGAGGTTAAACATAACAAGCCCCCGCCACTGACGTGAAGATGTGCGGGCGGGTAAACAGAACACCTACGAGAAACAGAGCCTTGCTTTTTTTGGCCGCCTTTTTTCCACCACCGAGAGCATTTCTGTGTTCCCAAATGTTATGCTGGAAGGTGGGCTGATCTGTTAACACCGTCTGGGTTTTCAGCTGCCATTTTATGAAGATTTCCATCTGATTAAAGAAAACGCGGCGTGGACCACGTACAGCAGAGTGGCTACGTAGGAGAACACCTGAAACCAAGGTAGGTAACCGTTAATGGGTGTGCCCAGCAGCGGGCAAGGTAGAAGCAGCCCACACTGGGCTGGCTGCTCGGTCCTGCTGGTCGCATGGCTCCAGGGATGACAGACCCGCCACTGCTTCCCATTGCTCTGCAGGCACCCTTTACCACTGAGCCCTGGCGTGGCCCCAGAATGCCTGCAGCACAGAGCTCCAGGTGACCCTAATGATCCACTGGACTTGGCATGCAAGGCCAACTATCTACCATCGCACATCATGTGGGTGCCACCCAAGCCGGAAAGGCAGGCCATAAGGCACCCCTCAAATGACAGCTGCAGGTGAGCACCCACTGCTCCCTGTGGAAAACTTCCCTCCACACCAGTAACGTTGGAGTCCACTGATCTGTGATCCCAGTGGCCTCAGCTAAGAGAATGTGAACATGTGGGTTTGCTGGCTCTGGCTGAGGTCTTGATGCTGCCCCTACCAATATTTTATTCTAGGTTTCTTAATTGCATAAGCAAGGGAGCCAGTCTCACAGGAAATGAGGGACTGGGATTGGGGGGGAGGGATTCTGAGCTTCAGCTGAAAGGCTGGGGCTTACTGAGAGAGCTGCTGGGAAGACCTAGTCAGCTGTTACGGCCTGGAACAAAGACCCTGGAAATGTGGCAGATGGTCCCTCTGTGCCCTGTAAAGGCCCTGATATGCTGTGTTTGCTTGTGCACCATCTATTCCTACCCCCTACTCTGGGGGGCTGGCCTCCCTGAAGGCTTGCCTGCCCCAATGTCAAATATCTGCACCTGGTTTTGTGACCTTGGATGTGGGGCCAAGAGTTTCCAATCCAGGCACAACATTAGGGCAGCTACGCTTCCGTGACTCTTGGAAATGCCCATAAACACTGGGGCTCACCGTGCCTGTTCTCTCCCTGCCTCCACACATGGGTGAGCCCTTCACCCTCATCAGCCAGTGGCATTGAGGAAGCTGAGTTACTTAGTAACAAATGTAACAGAATTCATCCAGGGGAACTTATATCAGCAGCGGGCAAGGTAGAAGCAGCCCACACTGGGCTGGCTGCTCGGTCCTGCTGGTCGCATGGCTCCAGGGATGACAGACCCGCCACTGCTTCCCATTGCTCTGCAGGCACCCTTTACCACTGAGCCCTGGCGTGGCCCCAGAATGCCTGCAGCACAGAGCTCCAGGTGACCCTAATGATCCACTGGACTTGGCATGCAAGGCCAACTATCTACCATCGCACATCATGTGGGTGCCACCCAAGCCGGAAAGGCAGGCCATAAGGCACCCCTCAAATGACAGCTGCAGGTGAGCACCCACTGCTCCCTGTGGAAAACTTCCCTCCACACCAGTAACGTTGGAGTCCACTGATCTGTGATCCCAGTGGCCTCAGCTAAGAGAATGTGAACATGTGGGTTTGCTGGCTCTGGCTGAGGTCTTGATGCTGCCCCTACCAATATTTTATTCTAGGTTTCTTAATTGCATAAGCAAGGGAGCCAGTCTCACAGGAAATGAGGGACTGGGATTGGGGGGGAGGGATTCTGAGCTTCAGCTGAAAGGCTGGGGCTTACTGAGAGAGCTGCTGGGAAGACCTAGTCAGCTGTTACGGCCTGGAACAAAGACCCTGGAAATGTGGCAGATGGTCCCTCTGTGCCCTGTAAAGGCCCTGATATGCTGTGTTTGCTTGTGCACCATCTATTCCTACCCCCTACTCTGGGGGGCTGGCCTCCCTAAAGGCTTGCCTGCCCCAATGTCAAATATCTGCACCTGGTTTTGTGACCTTGGATGTGGGGCCAAGAGTTTCCAATCCAGGCACAACATTAGGGCAGCTACGCTTCCGTGACTCTTGGAAATGCCCATAAACACTGGGGCTCACCGTGCCTGTTCTCTCCCTGCCTCCACACATGGGTGAGCCCTTCACCCTCATCAGCCAGTGGCATTGAGGAAGCTGAGTTACTTAGTAACAAATGTAACAGAATTCATCCAGGGGAACTTATACACTGTCTGAAAGGAGCCCTCACACTTGAGAAGCCCCCAAAACCACTTGCCCCCATCAGTGGGAGCAGTTTGCTGTCTGTCTAATTCCAGACCCAATGGCAGCTGTTGGCAGAAGCATCTCTGAAGTCCCCAGTAGGGACAAGAAATGAGACTTACTTTCCCAATGAGGTCAGGAAAGGGCACCCCATGGGGACACAGAGCCAGGGACATGGAAGGACATACTCAGGTCTGCAGAAACTCCTCTCCCTAAATGGTTGTCTTTAGTGCCCACCATAGTTAAGGTCCAGGAACCTCCAGATTTCTGCAGAAATTTCCAGCTACCCTGAGTCAATGCCCAGAAATCCAGGGATTCCTTTGATGCAGACTCCCTGCTGCCAGTAAAGGAAGGAGAGGGAAGCTTGGCGTTTGAGGTGGATCCCAAGTAGGAATCACAGAGAGGTTTGAAAGGCAGGCCGGAAGCTTCCAAGGTCTAGGGAGAAGGAGACGCCTCTCCAAATCCCCAGACTGGCCACCCCTGAGACCATCAGAAGGGCAAATCGTGGTTGGGCAGAGGCTGTGGTTAAATCCTGAATAATCCTTCTCCCTGCACACTGATACCATTGATGTTTTGCATAGGAAGGCATGACTTTACATGGAACTGGGCTCCTATTTCAGCTCGGTGTTTTCAGCCCAGTGTGTTCACCTGCTGGCAACATTTCAATCCTGACTCCAGCATGCCTGGGAGCGCCTGGGTCTGTTCATGTTTCTCCAACTTAACTAACAAAAATGTGGGGACCTGACCACTTGGGGCATGGATGAATAGATTTTGTTAAATCCTCAGTAGAATACTATACAGCAGTGAGAATAAACACTCTACATCTCCACCCAGCAATGTGGATAAGCCTCACAAACCTGCAGTTGAGAGACATAGGACAGGCATAAAAGATGTGTCAATCTATTTCTGTGAAGGTCAAAAGCAGGCTGAACGGAGTAGGGCAGCTAGAGTTCAGGGCTGTGGGTATGCCTCCTTTGGGTGCAATAGGATGAGGGGACTCCTGGGAGCTGTTTATTATGTTCTGTTTTGTAATTTGGATGCTGGTTGCACAGGGAGTTCACTTGATGGAAATTCACCAAGCTTTACACGTGCATTCTGCTCACTTGTCTGGCTGTATGCTGTATTTTGATAAAAAGTAAAAAAGGAGAGTCGGGACATGGTGGAGCCCAGGTGTTCTCTACTAGAGATCAGTCTAGCAGGCAGGGGCATTAATGCACCCCATCCGGACTGCTCCGTCACATGCTGACCCCCTAGCCACATTCCATGTACATTTCACTGTTGCTGCCTGCAATAATTTCATGGAAACCATGGTCGAATGCTTGCTGATATCTGTTCTGAGAAAAGGCTCCTGGGCTTGGGATCCAGGGCAGTCTGAGGTGCTCCAAGGTGAGGGGAGGTGAAGCCCTCTGAAGGATGATGGGGGGGTGGGTTACCACCTCACAGGGGAAGGAGGAATGGCCAGGCTGCTCCCGCTTGGAGACCAGCCATTCTGGGAGGACGTTCCTGCCCCATGGGAAGCTTGAAGGGGTGTCAGGGGCCATGCGGCGGCTGTGTTTATGGAACTATGGAGTAGGCTGGAGGTCAAGGGCAGGGCAGGGGATGGGCCCGTAAGGACCAGCAGACAAGGCTTTGAGGAACTGTCCCTCAGACCCTTCCCTCTGGGAGCAGGGAGGGCACCCCTGCCCTTCCCAGAGCCCAACAAAGCCCACCCCTGTGGGTTTTCTCCCAGCCTTTGCTCTGTGCTTGCTGGAAGGGGCATCACCCAGCTTTGGCACCTGGAGCTGCCACCTGGTGATCTATCATCACATTGCATAATTCACGGGGCAACCTCTAGAAATCTGAAGAGTGCTATTTCTGAAATCTTTTCTTCTTTTTAAAACAATACCCATGGTTGGAAATTCATTTGATATCATGAGTTAGCTTACTGGCACAAGCCCACACAGGCACCACTCTGGAAAAAAGTTTTATGAAACAAAACATTCTCTTACTCCCTGTCATTCTGATTCACTCCATTAAAAAGACAATTCAGGCCATGACCTCGCAGTCCACCGACACCAGCGGGTCTGGCCCCAGGGCAGAAGGCTCCTTTAAGAGCACAAGACCTGCGTGCGCTCTGGGCACACACAGCGGCACCCCACTGTTCTGCTGGTGGGGTGGATGAGGCTGCAGCACCTGATCCACCCATTGCTCACTGTTTAACATCTCTGTTGTCCAGGGAAGTGGACAGGAATTCCCATCTCATTTCATAGATGAACAAGCAGAGGCTCCGAGAATGGAGGGACGTGCACAGGGGAGCCCTGGTGATGTGAACTCCGGCCCCCTCTCACGGGCTCTCAGCTGCCAGGCAGGAGACACGGTCATGAAGAGCTGACATGGGCCTGCCCAGAGCCTCTGCCCCAGAGCCAGGGTTTGGTGAGACATGGTCTCCCATCCCTGGTCTCCCCCACCCCTAACTGTGTTCCCATGAAGACTGCTCAGGAAGAGCCAGATGACCCATGCAGCCAGGCTAACTGCTCCAAACCAGAGCTGGGGGTGTGAGGACAGAGCACCTGCCCTGATACCCAGCCCAGCAACGCCAGGTGACCTGGGAGAAGCCGTCTGAGCTCTTGGTGCCCTGGCTCTCCATCTGTGAAATGGGTATAAGTGTGCCACATCCTAGGGCTGCTCTGAGGGTGAAATAAGAGCTCATGGACAGCTCAGGTGCCAGCCCTTACAGCCATGTCTCCTACATCTGCCTTCCCCAAAGCCCATGTGGGTGTGGACCCCTGGACTCACCCAGGTCTGTGCAGGATGGTGCTGACTGGAGGGATAAGGGGGGTCCTCCCTTCTCTGGGGCTTTGTTTCTTCAGAAATGATAAGAAGGTTTACTTTGTTCAACAGCTAGTGAACTAACATGAGGGCAGTGGGGCAGCCTGTGCTCCTGCCCCCGTCAGTGGGCAGTGGTGGCTGTGAACACGGGCAGGCGGGCTGGGGGACTCACCACAGCAGAGATGTTTTCGTGGTAGTATTTGTAGGTGTAGCCCTCTTGCATCCCGATGGTGGCCAAAGCCTCCAGGACGGAGGCACTGAGGTAAAACATGGCAGCAACACAGTGGTAAGCTGCGTCCTGCAGGGTCAGAAAGAATCGTCAGGTGGGTGAGGGCCCGACGTGGGGGCAGGGCAGCTGTGGCCACAGCAGGGCCCATTCCCCCTACATGGCTCGGGCCCCTCCAGCACCCGCTACTTCCTTCCCTCCCCGGTCCCCTGCCCCCTCGGCCTCCCTCCAGCCCCTTCCCCAGGGAGATCATGCAGTGAGCACTGTGTGGCTGAGTTCCATCTCCCTGGTTTGGGGCCAGACTAGAGGCTTCGGTGGAAGGACACTGCTTTCCCCAGAGGTGGGATCCACATGAGGTGAGGCCAGGAGGGGCAGCTTGGGATTTCATAGGGAGAAACTGGTTCTGGACCTGAGACACCTCATACACAGTCACAGTCCCGTCCCCATGTGGCCTCAGTGACAGGTGCAGGGTGAGACAGGCCCAGGCCATTTCTGGTGTTCTTGTGCTGTTCATTTCTAGGGAGATGAGGTGGGAGGGTCCAGGTAGGTTTAAAAGCAAAAAAAGCCCTAGAATGGGGTTTTGAGTAGTTGAAATTTGGAGGTGATTTCTAAACTATAAGTAGGAGGCCTTTTGATGGGGGGAGGCCTGCCAAATGGTTTGCCTCCCCTTTCTCAGTAGGTAAAAGGCAGGTGTCCCATGGTGAGTTTTATGGACCTCAAGGCAGAATTATGCAGAATAGAGACCACAGGCCATCCCTGTCCTGCCTCCAAGTCTCTCTCTGGAGACCCTGCTTTCGAAGGCCATCACCAGGAGTTGGACAGTAAACATGCATCCCCAGGACCCCCACACAGATGGAACCCAGCCTTGCTGGGCAAAAGGAGGTGCCAGAAGGCACCCGGCAGGTGCAGGTGGTATGGGGAGGGGTTGGGGGCTGCTGTGTATCCATGAGAAAGTCACGCAGAGAAGCAGAGCAGGTCCAGCCAGAAGCCGGCAGTGACTGTCAATGCCGCCTTCACCTCCTCCTGACCTCCTCACTGCAGGGAGCTGAAGGCCTGGGCAGCTCGGCCTCAGAACATGGCTGGGAGATGCCTATGGGGGGGCAGCCTCCCCCGGCACTGGAAATGCCAGCCTCCCGGGGGAGAAGAGCTAATACCACACCTTCACCCCCAGACATCCCGGGCTGGGACTCACCAGGGTGATCCAGGAAGACTCCCCACCGTGGGCACCAATCAGGTACAGGATGAGCAGGACTGTGGTGGCCACAAAGCAGAACACAGACACGAACATCACCCAGCCCTGGACCAGGGGCATGGGCACCCGCGATGAGGCAACCAGGATCCACACCAGGCCCCCAAAGACCTGCAGAGGGAGGGAGGCAGAGGTGACTGTAGGGCCAGGACAGCCCATGCCAGGCAGGGCCAGAAAAACAAGAAGAGGCGAGCGCTTCTCTCCCCAAAAAATGTCTCTTTCATGCCACTCAAGGATCTAGCCTGGATCTCCAATCTGTCTTTCCAATCCCCCACTTGCTTGCCTTTATTCATATTTTAAAATAGAGTTTTAATTTTTTACTTAACAAAACCTTAAATCACACTTATATGATTAAATCCTACCCAGCGTTTTGATATTAAAATACCCTTCCTTTTATGAAACAGCAGTGGCCCGCAATTCTTTTGGTCTTTACTTGGCAAAATAAATTAGCCACCCACTGCCATTAGGACAATTTTTTTGAGATTGGAACCCTTCAATCTCCAAGTCCAGGGGTCAGGCGGGAAGGAAGAGGTCAGCCTGGCCTCCTGGGACAGCCTAGGACTGGCAGGAGAGAAGCACTTCCCTGTCGTTATTCAGAAGACACCCCAGTTGCTGTCTACAGGGTCAGTGAGCCCCATGTTTTCAAAGAGAAGCATAAGGACAGTGTAGGGGTTGTAACGCCACTCAGTGCCGCTGTCCCACGCCCCCCTCTGGACAAAGGTGCGCTGACCCAACTGGGATTCTCTCTACTTCTCTTACCTTCAACTTGTCCTCATCTGAGTGAAATCAGCTCGACCTCACCGCCCGCCCCCACCCAGGTGAGGATGCTGCTGGGAGCAGACTGGGACATGGGGTGGGGGGCGGCTTTGCAGTCAAAGGTCTCCTAGGTACCCTGAGTGACTGGGGGCTGAGGACAGGCTGCCCTCCCAGTCCTATGTTCCCTGTGATGTGAACTCAAGGGGTACCCTGACCCCGTCTCCTGTACCAGCTGCCCACCTGCTGGGTAAGAGATACCACCGTCCTCACGGGTGTTCTCTGAGCCTCAGGAGAGAATGAGAAGTATCAGGAGAGAATCATATTTTGGTACAAAAACCAGTGCCATGAAGAATCTGGAGTTATCAAAACTGAGCTGGGCCTAATGAATCAGATATGGGCCTCTCTGACCAGAAAACTTTTCCTGTCGATGAATCTGAGATTGCCTGAAGGCCCATGACAGAGCCAGAGGAACATACTTCACATCTTAACAATAATTGGAGCAAGATCAATGAAATAAAAATCCTTAGGTTGCTGACGAATAACGTGTGTGTAGATTTCATCCATAGTTGCCTTTATGGTCAAATTATGTGGCCTTTTTCATAACAGGCACTGACAGAGGGAGGCAAGCACGCCCACGGCTGAGCAGGGCTTGGATTTGGGAGCCTTGAGTGTGGCAAGGAGAGAGGGAGGACAGAGTGTGTCCGTCTGGAGGGCAGAGGCAAGGGCGTGGGACACTCCTCTCCTTGGCCTGGTCACCATCCAAAGAAGACGGATCTGTCAGGTCCCCCTTTCATAGGCTCTCAGGGAGCCTGTACTTCTTTACACAACTTAGCACAAACCAGGAGTACTTGATTAGTTACAAAACAGCACTTTCCCTGACTGGGTGATGGAGCGGTGAGGTCCGCCTTGCTCACAGCTAACCCTGGGTGTGGGACACCTGTCCAGTCATGCATCACTGTCTTAGTTAAACTGGCCTCAAGGTCTCCTGTTTGACGTGGAGAAACAAGTGATTCATGAACCAAATCCCAAAGGGCCACCTTGTGCTGCAAGGGGAGGGGGGAGCTCTCTGTTATGGAGCCCCACGTAGGACCAGTGGGTGGGAAGTACTTGTAGGTGGCCAGTGGAGTGGCACTGAGGACCACTGAATGCCATTTTCCTCTCTCCCTCTCCCTCTCTCTCTCTTGCGCGCGCGCACACACACACACACACACACACACATACACACACACACAGACTCATGCAGATTCCTGATGTCTATGCCTGTCCATAGGAGCAAAGCCCACCCTGTGTTCCAGCCCACCTCTTGCCCCTGACTCCTGGTAGATCTCAGCACCCCACCCTGCCTTTGGGTGGGTGACCATCTTGCAAAGATCCTTTTAAAAATAATGTTGACTTTTTTTTATCGCATGGTTTATCCACAGCAGGAAGTTTCATAGTAAGATGGGGAGAATTCTCTTTTAGACAGCTTTCATGAGATAACTCACATACTCACAACTTAACCACCCACTTGAAGTGTACAATTTTTTATGGTTTTTAGGATATTCCCAGATATGTGCCACCATCATCCCCAGAGTCAATCACCTCACGAGAAACCTGGTACCCTCCGGCTGTGGTTCTGCCCCTCCCATCCCTGAGGGACCGCTGCTCCGCTTTCTGTCTGTCTGTATTTCCCTGTTCTGAACTTCCATATGAGTCGAATCATATAAGTAGAGGTGGGCTTTTGTGACAGCTGCCTTCATTTAGCATAATGTCTTTCAAGATGAGAAATTCTCTCTCAAGGGGATTGTTATAAACTACCCGTACCATCAAGGGTACCCCACTGGCCCATTCCGACGCCCACCATGTGGGGAACACTGAGTGAATGTGTCTCATCTCTCTGAAGCCTCTAAGGTGGAAAGAGCTGAGGAAGCACTGGTTCCCAGGAGAACATGGCACCATGCAGCATCTGCCCCAGAAATATATTTTAAGTTACACATCACGTGAAGTAATGTCCTCAGCATAGATGAGATGATTAAACCCGGGGGGTCTGCTCCCCGGAGGCAGGCAGCACCCAACAGTTGCTCCGGGAGAAATGCAAGGTGGCGGCTGCAGGAAGGAGCCACAGGGGACTGTCTGGGAGGGGTGCTGAGTGGGGTACAGAATAACCTTGAGTGGACAGGAGTGGGGAAAGAAAGAAGAGGTGAGCTGAGAGATTGCAGTCCTGCCTGGGTGTCTGTGGGCGGCGCCCTGGAAACAGGCAGGCTGCTGTGGGGCAGATGCGGGTGGAAGCGGTAGGAGCCAGCCGGGCATGTGTGCAGCTGCGCCCCTCTCAGCACTAGCTCCTGCAGTGCCCCCGCCCCGAGACCCACCGAGGCGTTGGCTCGAGGAGGTTGTAGCATAGATTCAGCCTTTGGGCCTCTGCTTGCTCAGCTGTAGATTGGCAATTTGCAGCTGTCTCCCCACACTGCAGGCCGGTACAAACTGGCTGAAACCACGGATGTGAGTATGAAGCTTCTGGCCCTATGCCCAGCACCATCCAGCAACTAGGGTAAGACATTGCTCACTCAGGAGCCCAACGGCCCGGTGGAGACAGGCAGTTACATTGCAGGATGAAAACCGGCCCCGACGGGGCAAAGCAGTCTGGACTGGGGCATGGCTCTGGTCAAGTCTTCAAGGGACAGGTGGACCTAACCAGTTAACTGGGCCAAAAGGTCAAGAAGTGGGTTTCACTGGGGAGGAAAAGGTACATTACATGCCAATCCAGGGGATGCTGAAGCAGCAGTGAGGGCATCACAAGGCCAGGGAGCCAGGCATGAGCATGGGGGTAGGGGAGGCGTGGAGGGGCAGATGAGGCTCCAGCGGTGACGAACGCCAAGACAGAGCTGACGGCTGGGCTGCTGTGCAGGCATCCAAGGCCCTGCTCAGTGGAGAGCTGGGATTTAGCATGAATTATGGGACAAAGCCAGGGCCCACCTGACTCCACCTATTAGGTGTGCAAAGAGCAAACAGAGAGAGCAAACGTCCACACCCAGGCAGATAAGGCGTCCGGGCTGGGAGCAGTCCCATCCATCCTGGCCTCAGGACCCCACTGACCAAATATTTGTCAAGAGAAAGTGGGTAGGTGAGGGTTCAAACATTTCCCTTTGTAAAGAGAACTCCAAGCGCTCCAGGTGATAAGTACTCAGAGGTAATCATTTTGAAACTGGTCACACAAGACACAGGACTCCAGTTTCTGTTCATCTCTGTCAACAGGCTGGACTTCCCATGACCTGCCTGCCTGCACTGGGGTCACTCTCCTCCACGGTGGGTTGGATGGTCTCAGACACAGGTTTCTTAGTCGGGGGGCCCAAGAGCTCTTTGGGCCCCGTACTCCCCAGCTGGAAAGTGGGGGTAGGCTGACCCTCACTCTAGTTAAGAGTTTTCTGAGGCTCCTGAACAACCCCAAAGCTCAGGGTCTGACTCGACTGGCGGGAAGTCAAGTTAGAGGACAAGGAACAGACATCCCAGGCTCTTCGCCAAAGACCTTAGAATGTGTTTCCATAACACAAACCTGTGGATTATGTTCTGTTAAGTCCTGTCAAACAGAAGCAACAGCTCCTGTCTCCAGCGCTCTGCCCGGCTCGAGCCACACCAGCCAAGATGCCACTCCAGTTCCTCACTGGGCTGTGGGGGCCAAGTTCCCTCTCGGTCCTCTCCTCTCCTTAAGCTTCAATCCCTGCCTTGCCTTGGTTGTGCGGCTAGCTTGTCCTGAGGTGTCCCCTAGACATGGGGACTCAGACCCAGTGTCCGTGATTGGGGGTGATTTGAGCTGGTGATCTGAGTTCTCTACCCACCCAGGACCAGAAACCACCTCTCCTTAATTCAGTCCAGTTTTGGGTACTGAGCAGGGCTGAGGTTTTCTCTAAGATTCAGGGAAAACAGACAAAACCAGACAAAAAACTTGTAAAGACTTAAAAGAGTTTACATTCGGGGTCTCCTGGATTGAATTATTTTTGTGGAAAAGAATTTCCTCAGGAGACAGTCTTCAGGAAAGCCCTGGTGTAAACTCAGAGAGGGTTCTCACTTTTTCTCTCTGAATTAACCCATGGAAGGCAGGTGAGCATGGTGAAGACTGTCGAATTTAGAGCCAGTTAACTGAGTTTGAATTCTAGCTCATCACTTACGAGCTGGGGGTGGGGCTGGGGGCTGTTGTCCCTCGGCAAGTTACTGAACCTCTCTGTTCCCTATCTCAAAAACAGTGATACCATTAGTGCCCATGGGGCTGAGTGGAATGGGTTTATGTCTGTGGAGCACCCAGCACCCAGTGAGGGCTCTAAGTATTTGCTGATACAACCGTCAGGTGATGGACCCAAATGAAGTCCCGGTAGGTCCAAGGT